AAAGGAAAATATCACAGGTGGATAATTTTTTTTTTTTTAAAACAAAGAAGTTAAAAATCGACTTTTTATTTTTATTTATTTATTTAGTTTTCTGGGTCGATGAACATTTCTGATATTGAACTTGTGTAATTATAAAGAAAAAAAAAACGTAAATTACTGTTTATGTAGAACGTTCAGCTAATATAGTTCTTTTGTTGGGAAAAATGTTAACTACTGGTAATGACCAAAGCTTTATCTGATAATATATTTTTTTACACTTATGAAAATATGACAATATGTGAGTGGAGGTTCGTTATATCACTATTATTGGTTTCTATTGCTATAGATATTATCGCTAAGTCTGTGAAAAAAAGTAACTTGATCTTGTGAAGATGAGTAACCCCAGAACTCCATGTAAAGCAAAATAACCCCATAAATTGTTAGGTCTGGTTAGGTTAAGTTCGTTGACATGCTTCATATATATATATATATATATATATATATATATATATATATATATATATATATATATATATATATATATATATATATATATATATATATATATATATATGTAACTCTTAACATATGAGGTTTTGTGTGACTTCTTCACTGAGAGAGAGAGAGAGAGAGAGAGAGAGAGAGAGAGAGAGAGAGAGAGAGAGAGAGAGAGAGAGAGAGAGAGAGAGAGAGAGAGAGAGAGAGAGAGAGCTTTAGTTATCCCTTGAAAAGTACCAATTCAAAAAATAAAATACAAGTTTTCATTATCAAACTGGTAGGGGTGTCTCAAGAAATACTTCATAAAGAGAACATCAATACTTGGTGTACTTGTACAGTAGGTTATCAAATACTTTTAATACATATGCACACACACACATACTAATGAAATTCAATACCTTAAAATGTAAGGTAATGAGAATGGGTACAAGTGCAAGAAGGCCCAAGCTTGACTACTCGGTGGCTGGAGTACAACTTCAAGAGACAGAAAATGAGAGAGATCTAGGAGTAAACATACTGGCAGATTTGTCTCCAGAAATACATATAAATGGCGCAGTAAGGGCAGCATATGCATTCTTATCAAATGTAAGGGTAGCCTTCAGGCACATGGACAAGGAAATGTTCAGAAATATTTATGTAACCTATGTGAGGCCAAAACTCGAATATGCAGCCCCCTTTTGGAATCCGCACTTGAAAAAGCACATAGCTAAGCTTGAAAAAGTTCAAAGACATGCCACGAAACTGGTGGCAGAAATACGCAATCTCGGTTATGATGAGAGGCTGAGGGAATTAGACTTGCCATCACTCGAAGCTAGAAGAGTAAGGGGGGATATGGTGACAGTCTTTAAATTCCTTCATGGTTATGATAGAGTGGATAGGGATCGATATTTCGATATGGCTGGCTCTAGAACTAGAGGTCATAGTTTGAAGCTTCGTAAGAAAACTTGTTTGCAGGATGTAAGGAAATACTTTTTCAGTGTAAGAGTAGTTGATAATTGGAATTGGCTAAGCGAGGAGGTAGTTAATGCTATCTCAATCCATAGTTTTAAGGACAGGTACGATAAGTATCACTAAGTCTAAAAATGGAACCGATCAGGAGACGGGAAGATACGAGCTTTGGGCTCTTTCCCGTAAACACAATTAGGTAATCACATACTACGAAGCTGTTGAAAGAGATACGCAATCTCAGTTATAAGGCGAGGCAGAGGGAGTAAGACTTACCATCACTTAAAGCTAGAAGAGGGGGATGTGGTGAAGGTCTTTGAATCTCCATGACTTTTGCAGAGAAAACAGGGAGGGATATGGTTGGCACTAGAACTAGAGGTCATAGTTTGAAGATTTGTAAAAAAAACTCTCTTGCAACATGTAAGGAAGTACTTTTTTTAGCGTAAGAGTAGTTGACTATTGATCGCTAAGTGAGGAAACAGTAAATGCTAAATGCATTAATAGTTTTAAGGACAGATATAACTAGCGTCAGTGAGTAAGAAAAATTTAACCCATCAGGAGACGGGGAGTTACGAGTATAGGGCTCATTGTAGTAGGCTAAACAAAATTTGGTAAATAAAAAAATAAAATAAAATTAAAAAAAAATATCTATCTATCTATCTATCTATCTATCTATCTATATATATATATATATATATATATATATATATATATATATATATATATATATATATATATATATATATAGTTTTAAGTCAAGTTATATGTTTACTTTCGCACCTTCAAAAAGTGAGGTGAAAAGAAACTAGACACCAATAATTTTCTGTTTTCTTAGCTGGTGATAAATCAACCTAACCAATCCTTACCAATTACTATATTTTTCCTAAAAGGACGTGTAAAAATATTTACACACCTATCCAAACTAAATCTAATACTATAATAATTGCAAGAAATTCTTTCCCTAAGGGAGGTGTGAATGTAAAAAAATTTCCCCTAATTTTGGTAAAACTACAAGACTACCCAAAACTACTGCAAATCTGTTAGCCGGGGTAGCGAAGTGGATAGATCACTCGACTCA